CTTTGTGAAGTAGTACTTTTTTGTGTTCTAAATTTACACTTTATCTGGATTCAAGGTGTCTCTATTAACTCGTTTACAATATTGGGTTCATAAGTCCATCACGTGGTTCCTGTATTTCATGATTTTATATTACTTATAAATGTGCTTAGACTGGGAAGCTTGAGTCTCCTTTTCCCACAAAGGGACCTTTATTTAGCCTAGCCCTTCATCTTTGACTTTAGCTTTTCCTTTTCCACTTTGCTTTGTTTGAGGTTCAGTAACTAGAATCATACAGTCTCATTATTTCAAATATACTACAGTTGCTATTCTTGAACATAATGAAGACCAAGTAGGATGTAGTTTCAGCTGGATCCTAATTTCAGATAAATTTTTTCATCCCTTAGTGTATTTTTGGCTTCTATGAGCCTCAGTTTCTCCTCTGTAGAAAGAAAATAATGCTTGTCCACAGATTTTATTTATTTTTTTTCTTTGTGAGGCCAGCAAGCAGCAGTGTGCCTAAGGCTGTATGCTAAGTGTGTAAAATCATGCTGATGCCCAGTGTGGTTTTTGGCTTTTTGCACCACAGCAGGGAGACAAAGTTGGTTTGAAACTAAGTACTTTTATTGTAACAAATATACGGGTGTCATAACATTTTTCTGTTTGAAGATTGAGTTACATGTAAACCATTATATGTATTTTCTGTATGAAGATTAAGTGAATTACATATAAAGCACTTAAAAGAATACTTTTAAGTGTTATAAATACCTATTATTATTATTATTTATCTTGTTATAAAACAAGATTTATGGCTGGGCGCGGTATCTTACACCTGTATTCCTAGCACTTTGGGAGGCTGAGGTGGGTGGATCACTTGAGGTCAGGAGATTGAGACCAACCTGGCCAACAGGATGAAACCCCATCTCTGCTAAAAATACAAAAATTAGCCAGGCGTGGTGGTGGGTGCCTGTGATCTCAGCTACTTGGAAGGCTGAGGCAGGAGAATCACTTGAACCAGGGAGGCGGAGGCTGCAGTGAGCTGAGATCTTGCCACTACCCTCCAACCTGTGCAACTGGCAACAGAGCGAAACTCTATCTCAAATAAATAAATAAATCGTGTCACTGCACTGCAGCCTGGGCAACTGGCAACAGAACGAAACTCCATCTCAAATAAATAAAATAAAATAAAATAATAAAACAAGATTTATAACAAGACAAATAATAGATTTGTTAAATAGTGAAAGTAAATCTTTATGATGTCCAATAATATTTCAAAGTATATTTCACTTCACATATAATGTCACAATTTTAATTTAGGATTCTTTAAGATGAGTGCACTCCTTCAGTGATTGGGATAGGTTCAAAATAGAAATAAAGATTTTATTACTTACAGTTCCTGAAGGGGAACACATTATGCACAGAGGTCACACACACGGAGGTCAGGGGTGCATGGAGAGAGAGAGAGAGAAAGAAAGAGAGAAAATGGGACTTGCAGGCCAGTGCCTTTATTTGTGGATCCAGGGCGTTATACAAACAGGTTTCTCGTGGGAAATTTTAACTGACTGGTTCAAAGCACAAGTTCCAGGACATCAAGCGGTGACTGAGAGGCAGTCATTGTGGTGTGTCTGCACAGTCCATGCAGGGTGGAGGGTCAGCAGGACCAGTCCAGCAGGCTGCATCTACTCATTTCATAGGGAAGTGGTGATCAGGGAGCAGGTGTATAAGGCCAATATTTTGATGCACCACACTGAGAAACGGGGGTGCTGCAGGGAGGTAGAGTATAGAATTGGAAACTGTGTGTGTCAAGGGTGACTGAATCTTTCTTCTGGTATAACGAAGTCCAACTTATATTTAAAATAGATGTCAAGGCAGCATAAAATTATAAGCATTCACTATACAAGTTTACCCTGTATTTTCATTGTCCTAATATTTCACTATTTCCCAAGATAAATCTTAACATTATCTCACTCTCCCAATATTAATACTTTCCAAACAAATATATATATATGCAAATGATATAACTATTTTTTCTTTAAACGGTTTTCTCTTTCTTATGTAAAATGGAAAATCTAGCTATCAAGTAGCAAAATAGCAGAAAGTGGTGTGATTTATGTCTGCTGCTTAATAGTCTAATTCTACATATATTAGTGAGTGAAGAAAATCTCTAAAGTTTGAAAAGCAAAAAAATGCAGATGAATCTCTGTGGGGTCCAGTGTTCATGCCATCCCCAGCGCACTGTCAGGTAATTGGTAAGAATACTAGATATTTGAATACGTATAATCAAACCTGGTACACATAGAAAATTACGATGTGAGATGAGCATATACTAAAGCCATTTTTTTTTATGTTTATATCTATGTATGGTTATACAAAGTCCTCAAAAATCAAAACTATGGTGCGAACATTACTAAAACATGCTGAGGCATTCAGTGATGGATAATATTTATTTTAAATTCGTAGAAGTTTTTGATTTGTAAGTCATGTCCAATTTTTGTTTCCAAATTTAATGCCAAATTTGCCAAAATATATGAGAGATTATCTCTATGTCATAGTAGATACTATAGAAGTATTCATAGATAGCAAAGATAGAGTGGGGCCAAACAGATCCTAAGTCAATCAGTGAGACATATTCCCAATGGGTACGGTGTAGCGCAGTGTTTCCTTTCTGCCCTCCACAGAAAATAGTACTGTTAGAGATACACATTGTATATTGATTTATTCAAACCATAAACATTTGGAGTTGTTATTCAATCAAGTGTGGCATTATCATTAACACGTAGCACCACTTGCCATTTTGAAACACAATAAACTGGTTTATATTGATGAGTTACAAGGTGATATGTGCCATAAATGTGACAAAAGTGATACAGAAAACATATTTTACATATTGGAATCATCTTTATTTTGTAATCTGAATTATTCAAGGAATAGTTTGCCTTCCAGAAATCATACATTTTTATTTTGTAGAAAATGAAAGAGGAGTCTAAGGTACTAACCTTTGTTATTGGGCCACCTCTCTCTTGAAATCACAATCTCATTTCTAAGTGATATTGAATAGCTGAAGAATGATTCAGAGAAAAAAAAAGTGAATTCAGAAAATAGTAACTATGAATACATAGCCTTCTAGATACTAAGTTCTGCTTTAGACATTTTACATTTTGGAGTTGTTTTCAGTAACACCGCACATACCAATTAATGAGATGGTGTTCTCCCCATTTTATATATAAGGAAACTATCCCAAATAAACATCAGAGCAGATTTCAAATTTTTTTCGATTCCGCTTACCTGTAATCTTCCTTTCTGAGGAGTGAGCAGTTTTATATCAACTGTTTTGTATATTTACCACCATAACATCCCACATGTTATTTTCTTATATTGCTAATTTCTTGATTTTCATAATTACAAGGGAAAGACTGTGTAATAATTTGTATGTGGGTTCAATTTTTAAGCCTTTAATGACAATATTTTTCAAAATCCTAAATAAGACATAGATTGAATAGCTTCATAATAATGTATAGTATAGATCAGTGTTTCCCAACCATTTTATTTTTACCCCTTTTGGGAGTATCTTTAGATTTTTCTTAATCCTCCCTGCTATAATTTTAGTACCATAGATACACTGTATAACTGTTTATATACTTCAGCTCTTTGAAGGGACCAGACCATTATGATATCTAAGGATTATTTTCTTTTCCCTAAGAATTAATTTTTGCTCCCTAGGGGCAATATTACTGTCTTTGAAAATGCGTCATAGAGACCAAGTTCTGAGCCAGTCAGCTATAATCTAATAAAGACAGTGGTTAACAAAGTATCTTCTGTGCCCTAGAAGCATAGCATCACCTGAAGAATTTGTTAGACATGCAGATCCTCAGGCCTCACCTAAACCTCGTTAGAAACTCTGAAAACGGGCCTGTGCAGTCTGGTTTAAGGAACCTTCCAGGTGATAGTGATTCATGGCACTAGTTCTGGACAGGTTGTTGAAAAATGGGCCCATGGCCTGATTACAGCATCGAGTTAATTACTTTATGTCTCAGTTTTTCCATCTTGACAAAGCCCAGATAACTCTTCGTGTGAAGCCTCATACACACAACCTCAGTGGAAACATTACTCAGGGATCCTATTGAGAATCTGCCTGGCTTTCAGAGTGAAGGAAAATAATAAGACTGAACATCCCAAAACACTTCAGTAGGATATGTTTGCATTTTTTTAAAAAAGAACATTGAACATAGTACTTCTGATTACATTGACAAAGGTCTGGATTGCTCCAAAAGCAATTAATGGAAAAATAAGCAAATGAGTCAATATTAATATTCTGTCTCAATGAACATTCCATTATGCATATGAAAACAAACAGAAACCGGGGTATCCGGATTTTATGGCAGAATGAATTATGTTGGAAATGGGGAAGAACTAGGGATTCATCAGGAGGACATACTTGTTTCACTGTCTTCAATTTTTCATTTATAGTATTTGCTTCTGTAGTTTTATAAAAGGAAGAATTTTTTTTTTTTTTTAATTTCTTAGTTCTGCAGAGTTTCTCTAGTCTTTTTCTCCTACCTACCATTCTAATCATGTACTTGCACAGATTGGCTCACCCACTTTATTGACTTTTTTCCAGCTTGGATGTATGCAGCCTGGTAATAAACAGAAGTATTTATTTTAATATGCAGCATGATTTAAAAAGAGAGCTTTATCTACTGAATTGAAAACGTAAAAATAATAGGCTACTATGGTCAGAAACCTCACAAACTACCAAATGTAGAGCATGCAGTACTTAAAACTTGAGAAATACTTTATGATGCCGTGATCTATAAACGTCCACATTACTACTCCAATTCAAGACTCCCTGAGTCAGTGATTTACAAAATGCAAATAACTGGTAACTGAAACTCAGATTTGGTGAAAGAAAAAGCTGCATATTGACTTAATATCATAAGCTTTAGCATGTATAATTCAATTAGAAATCAAATACTGTATGGAATAAGAAACATTTCAAGTTTCTTTTCTGTTCTGTTTTGTTTTAGATGGAACTTGCTAAGGAAGAAAAGTGTGAATTTCTGCCATTCCTGTCCCCACGGAAGGTTATAGTAAAAGGTGGGAGAATTGCTGCTATGCAATTTGTTCGGACAGAGCAAGATGAAACTGGAAAATGGAACGAAGATGAAGATCAGATGGTCCATCTGAAAGCCGATGTGGTCATCAGTGCCTTTGGTTCAGTTCTGAGTGATCCTAAAGGTACAGTGCTGGGAGCTGAAATGTGTGATGCAATTGTCTGTTATTTTAGTGCTATAATAGTCTCTAGCTTTCAGGGAATTGTTTTTCACTTTAACATTTATTTTTCTTTCTAGTTAAGAAGTAAAAGCAATCTTGATTCAAAAGGCTTAGAAATGGTATTTAATGCTTATACAGAATTATTTTTAAAGTAGCAAGAATTGAAAAGAACATTAATCTTTCTTTTATAACTAAAACACATATTCTGCTCTATAACAGTATTTGCCCTGTTTCTTATGGAAGAATTGCTTTTTCTTCAATTAGACTAGAGTAAGAAAATGAGGCAGAGTAGTTGGAACAGCCAGTCTTCAATGATTCAGACAAATTAAAATCTAATGAATGGCCAAAAATAGAATTTGTGTTTATTACCATCCTTGTGCCAGATCATCACTTCAGACGTCAGAATTATCAAATTAGAAAGTTTGAATGTCTGTCGTTTTCACCTGGATGGCATGAGTGAACATGCTAAGAAAAAACAAAATGTTTTTTAAAAAGATAATGAGAGAAAGAAATGTTTTATATAACATTTCAATTGAATAATGATTCAGTCAAGTTAGACTACTTTATATTATACTTTTCCCACATACAGTGTTTTTGTAGGTCATTATAGATGAAAGCTTATGTATCTAGGTACCTTCATTTTACAAATCCTTTTACCTTTTAATTCATATTATTGAAATTACAGTTAACTCTGTCGTTCTGTGAAGGGAAAATAAAATATGTTTTTCTAGGTCAGAGATTCATTGAGAACAACCATACCAAAAATCTCTCTAAACCTGATGATTCCTGTCTATGACTTCCTACTATATCCATGCTAAAATTACATTTTTTGTCTGAAGTTGGAAGAGATATATACATGAAAATGTATATTTTTATGCCACAGATAAGTAAAGGATTCAACTAGTCATCAGATATTTTATCTGCAGGACATCAAACATCTTGGTATTTGGAAACATCCAGATGTTTAATGTCATCAAAATAAATGTTTTCAAATAGCTGGATGATGGCCTAAATTTGTCACTTTTCATGTAGACATTTATGTGGTATGTAGACACAGTCAGAGTATGGTTTATTTATTTAACTGAATTCAGGAAGGAAAAAAGAACAATATGTAAAGTGCTTATATTATCTTAAAAATCCCATTCTTCTATTAAATACTAGGTACATCACCAAAAGTTGAGTAAAATGTTGAATCATGTTTAACTAGCAATTCTGTTGATTATTTGCCTATCCAAAAAGGTTAGCTTAACTATTTAAACTTATGTTCCATAATTGGCAATCCTAATATTAATAAAAATTATCTTTTCCTAAACAAACCTAAACAGATTTGACTCAGAAAACAGCTTTTGCAATCTCAGATACAATTTTATAAGCTTGTGCTTGTATGTGTGTGCGCGGGCATGTGTATTTGTGTATGCATGTATGAAGAATAAAAGATTTAAGTAGCATATAAAATATGAAGGAGAAAATTTCATCTATTCAAGTTTGACTAGGTCATTTCACAATTTATGCATTTTATTACAGAATTTACTGTGTATATTTCTTCTAGTACTTCACATATGCCACCCCTTACACATTTAGAGAAGTCAAGGAAAAAAATGTTTCTTCGCTATGTTTTTTTTTTCCACTTCTGATTTGAAATTATAAACTGCCCGTAGAAATTATCCTTAAGTAGAATTACTAACTTTACCAGGAGCCTTCCATGTTTACATTAATAAGACGTTATTCTCCAAGTGAGAGGGGAGCTGGCAGAGCTGCAGTGTGAGATAGCATTCATTCCTGGACTCCCATCCAAATGTTTTCGATACTGTTCTTTTGGATGGAAAACATTAAAGAAAGGAGTCACAGAAGCAGTATTTGTTAGAATTTGATCAAGAAGGTCTTACTCAATAAATTTAAAATCTTAAAGTTTCCAAGTCAGAAAACTGTCATGTGCACGCATATATGTAAAATACAATGAAAAGCATTTTATTGGAAGCAAGCTGTCCATTTGGGTAAGAAGAAAAGATATTCATGTTAACTGTCTTCAACCATAAATTCTGCCCCATCCTAGCACTATGTGATGTCATTTCTGCGTGGTACCTAGTGATTATCACATATGTGATATCTGTTTTAATGCATTCATCTCTTAAAATGTTTACTTCTCTTTCCACCCCTCTACTTTTCTCCTTTTCAATCTCACTTTGCACAGACTTCAATGAACTGCATGTCAAATGCAGTGACATTTTTTCAGTCCTTATTATATTTTCTACATTTTATAATTGATAATGTTAAGAATTCTGTTTAAAATGCTCTCCTCCAAGTCACTTAAACTTCCTGAGGCTCAATTTCTTTATCTACTGAAAAAACAAGCATAATACCACCTTATCTTTCAACCTCTCAGAGCTATTGTCAGAATTAAAACGAAGTAATGTAAAAGACTTGGAAACAAAACTAGAACACATTCTTGTTTGTGACACTTTATTTCCTTGTTTTGTCTTTTAACTATTCCTTTCCAACCCTATCACTGACTGCTTTTCTTCCTCTAGCTTTCTACTTTCCTAAGTTCAGAATTTGTTCATTTTCTCTCCTTAACATATTTATTTCTTCAGTGAACTGAATGTCTTGTTCATTCTTTCATTTGTCCATTCATATGTGTATTCATTCCTCAAGATATATAAATGAACTTCTGTGTGCCAGACAGTGGCTAGACTTACAGTAGGCACTATTTCCTGTTTGTGTAAAAATGACTCTGAAATCTAGTTTTCCACTCCCCACTTCTCTTTTCATACTAAATTTTTGTTCCTGCATGTGACAAACATTTGCTGAGTACCTAATGAATGCCAAGTACCAAAATGTATTCTAGAGAGTACGAAAATGAGCGAGTCATTGCATGGAATTTAAAATTCCATAGACTAGGTGTGGAGGCAGATCTGTAATCAATTAATTTTATTATAACATGAGGAATGTGTACATTAAGAGAGATTTGCACAAAGTAAAAGAAAGTTCACCTTAGCAGATTTACCTAAAACAGTTCTTTTCTCAACTTTACTATTGTTGCAAATGGTACCATTAGTACTCCCCATAGCCAAAGTTTAAAATTTTACCCCAGTTCAAATTTCTAATTACAGTATTTATTAAATGTACCAATGTTATCTTACACTATAGTATAAAGCTTCCACTTCTCAACACTTGAGAACATCAGCACTTGGCCTTATATACATTCTGTGTATCCAGCTATGTTTTCTTCCATTCCCTGTTGAATTATTCCTCCCAGCATCCAACACAGGGCACATTCCATAGTGGTAAAATAGAAAATCTTTGGTAAATGCATTACATAAAGCCGTGCTGAAAAATTCAAGTAATGAAATAAACTTGACAGAGTACATGTAAAGTACAGTGATAAATTGCACTCAGCAGTCTGATTACAATAATATTTTAAATGAAAATACTTTAAAAATCTCAAATAGATCAATAATAAGAACCTGAAAAGGTAAGCTAATTGGAAAACTGAAAGGAGATTACATTTTTAATGTCAGTATTTTCTGAGATATTATACAATCTTCGTAAGTTTCTAAATTTGTTTCACAATGGAGAATGTAAAATAACTTTTTTAGTGTTATGCACCTAATATATCTGTAATAAACATTTCCTGTCATAAAATGATAAGTGCCTCAAGAGCTTATGGAAAAGATAAGTATATCAAATTTATAAAATAAACTTGGGTAAGATTTTGGGATTATAGTTGCTAATTATTTCATTGCCACTAAGGATAATAAGAGTGATAAATAATCATCATTACTTTACATAATTATATTTCATCCATCACTTTTTGGATAGTACCAGGGAGTGGGAAGTAGGAACAAAAGACTACATATTCCAAATCCGTGTGCATGGAATATGTATGCGCTGATCAGCATAATTTAATTGAATACTTCATTAAACACTAGCTCAAATTTTAAAAGCAATGGTGTCCAATTTCTGACTCAATTGATGTAACCTCAGCCTTTCATATCTTTCTTGTGAGAAACTCAAAACGGTTCCACTTAAAAAAAGTCCCCTGTATTCCCTCTAGGAATGTACAATTCCAGATCTTATCACATTAACTTGGGATTGTATTTTTCTAGATAGACTATAAAGGCCATCAGGAGATTAAACACAAACTTTCTGTAACTGTGTTTCTCCTTTACAAATATTCTGCATTCACTGGAAGGTTCTAAACATTTATTTAAAATATGTATATGTATATTTTATTTATACTTATATATAATATAAATATAATATAAATATATGAATACATATTTATATATAAGATATAAATAGATATAATTCCTAATATAGGATGTTTCCTCTTCTGCTAAACACTATTGTCAGTACTTATTGAATTGAATTATGTTTCTTTTTGTTTGTTGGTACAATGTCAGGTTTAATTGATTTATTGTTTATTTTACAGTGTATCTCTCTTTCTCTTTCTTGTTGGAACCAAACTGCCAGTTGTTAAGTGGGCCCAAATTTCTGCTAGTTTTGAATTAGTAAGAATTCTTTCCCCCTTTCACTAATCTCATGGCTTCATTTTTACAACCGAGGCAATAAGGTTGACCTTGTCCTCCCTCACATTCCTAGGAGATCTGGATGACATAATTGTACGGTTTGTTGAATATGCTTTCAGACAACTGAACGAATGTACTTTAGTTCATTCTGTGATTCTGTGCCTCTTCCATACATGGTACCACAACCACTCTTTCATTATTTGAAATTTTGACTTTGTAAAGTTTTATTTTCTGTGATCTTCCAGAATCTATTTTATTTTCAAATTATCATATAAACTCCAAGGAGGGCAAGGAGAGTACCTTTATACTAAACTGTAGTCACAATAGCAACTGACGTATTAGTGTGCCCGTAATAGATCCACAGAAATATTAGTGCATTTGACTTCACTTGATTCATGTTAGGGTATTAATTTTATTATGAGTTACTATTTTTTC